AGTCCTTCAGGCTGTTCTATAAACTCGTCGAAAACATCATGACACTGAAAGAGGTGGAGGAGAGAGCAAGGCAAGCGGCCGGCATAGGAGCCCGCCAACGCCCGTAACACAAGCTCTCTCAACCGGAAACCCTATCCGGAAAGAGGGACATCGGGGACCCCGGACAGCACGAGATCTCCAGTTCGGCGGGCTGTAGCGCCGGGCACGAAAAAGCCGGAGGAAGGACAGAACGGGTCACGAGACCGGCGGGCATCCAGCTGGGTCAGGAAGACGGAGGCAAGAACGAGACCCCAGGCCGGTGGGCTGTATATCGGGCCGCGAAGGCTCCACTGACTCAACCCATGCCTTAAGCACTTTATAGCTTTTTATTGTGAGTTCCCGCCTCACCACCCAATGGCAATCGCTGAGGAAGGATTCCCAGGCGGAGGTGTGGGAACGCGTCCAGGACGCAGTTATTGTATAATTAAATGGTATGTTGTTTTTTATGAGTCCGGAGGAGAATTAATGCTAACGCGGTTCCTCATCCGGTCCTCGATCTAACCAGAAAAAAAAAGAAAAAAAAAAAAAGGTATATATTTTATTGTAAACATTTTGATATTATGTAAATTATTTTATTTGTTTATATAGTAAAATTTTTCGAAAAAAAAATATAGGTACAGATAATTTGGTACTCGATATATTTATACTTATTTGGCCTAAATTGGAGTAATATTTTATTCATCACTGATGAGCAAGGCTGGGCATTAACGAGTTAAAAGTTAAAGTTAAGTTTAATAGTGTATTTAATTTTAACTTTTTAACTTAACTAGTTACTTTTGGATTTTCATAAGTTAATGAAACTATTTATTAACTTACTTAATTTCTTTTTTAATTAACTTGCAATTAACGAATTCATTTTTCGTTTTAAGAAGTAAGTTAAGTTAATTTATTTTATTTTTAGTTTTATTACATTTCACTATTTCAGTTAGTAAATTATTCAAAGTTAAACATTTTAAGTGTTTATATTCTAACTTATACGGAAACATATATGTAAATACTGTATAAAGTATAAACACTATAGTCTATAATTTATTCTTAGGTTGGTGTCTCCGACGCGACAACGGCACTGTAGACATCGCCACTGACCGACACACACACACACACAGTCACATATAATCTTCGTTATTTTTGTATAAATCATTGCGTCTTTGTGAATTATTATATAATATGTAGATTAAAGCTAGTTATCGTAAGCCGCCGGATCGGCTCAGCGAATATAATTAACACGGCCGCCGTAACATTTTTTTGTCTTCCTCCGTCCGTCGTCGTGAGCAACCCGTCGAGGATATTATATCATAAGAAAAAAAAGGGTATTTTATTGTAAAGCACGAATTGCCAACATTATTATTAAATATAAAATATTAATATATATTATACATATATTAAATATAAATCGTGAATCGCTAAAAAGTTATATTATATTTTGTTCGGGCCCGAATCCCCTAATTTTTATTATATTGTACAGCGCAAATCACCATCAGCGTTGAGCCGAGATAAATATAATTTTATCCATGTAAAGATAAGGATAAATTATAATAATGTTATCTAGATAAAGATGAAAAAAAAAATATTTTATCCAGATAAATTATTGGATAAATTGTTTTATATTTTTTTTATGACACTTCGTAAGCTCGTAGCAATATAGAATAACTTAATAGTATGTTATCGAAAATGTCGATAGTTATTAGTAAATACTTCATACTTAATACATTACTTAATTATCTTATTATATAATAAATTAAATTATCTAGATAAATTCATCTAGATAACGATGATTTTTATCTTAGATAACTGTATAAATTAATATTTTCTATTTATCTAGATAAGATAAAAGAATATTTATCTAGATAAACTCAACACTGATCACAATACCTTTGTTTATTATTATTTATTGCAAGGCGGGAATCACCAGTGTATATTATTTTCTTATTATTATTTCGATACCCATAGTGTGTGTATCGTGTATTATTATTATTAATGTCAATAAAGGTTAGGTATAACAGCTTTAGAGCCGAGCTGTAAGTTATCATATCTGTAAGTTTTTGTATTATTATTATTATATTTTTGTTACCTACAGTTAGTACTTAAGTTGGATAGTTGCATAAACATTAAATTCTTTGGCTATATGCCTAGGCATTTAATAAAATGCCTGATTTGACTATATGCCTACGACATAGCTAAGCCGTTAGGAAAGAGAGTTTTTAAAAAATAATTTATTTAAAAAGAAATAATAGTAATATCAAATTATAAACTAAAATTATTCAGTTGGTATAAAATAAAGTACTTAAGTAAGTACTTAAGTTAGCTTTATATAAAAAAAATTTACTTTTAACTTAACTGAGTTCACCAAAAATTAAATTAACTTTTTTATTGATACATATTAACTTATCTTAACTGAGTTAAAAATAATTAATAACCCAACATTGTCACAAAACACCATGCACTATTGCACTTTACCCTTATTTGTATATTTCATAATCTTGTAAATAACTAAGAATAACAGGTAGGGACTCAATACTAAACCTTGGTACAAACTTGTTATAAGCTACTTAGATAAAATAGTATACATATACAATTATCAGCTTACCAGTAACCCCTGTGAATATATAAACGTAAGTATAATTAATTAGTATTATGAATCATAAACTATAAGTATAGGGTTTAAACCAATAATGTTTATAGGTTAATTAATAATTTCCATATCATATAAAATATTGATTTTAAAATAATTTAATTTATAACAATTTTAACAAACGTGTATTTGTACCTATTGAAACTTAAAATCGTCAAAAATGTACTCTTTATCTATGCTTAATAATACAAGTTCGAAAGACATTATAATGTTTTTAGTATATTTTTTGTTTTTAACAATAAACACAGCTGTAAAATCGAATAATACACTATAAATATATAGTAGTATAGTAAAGGATATACTATTTTCTATAGTATAACATCATAACAATCTTTAAATTATGGCTCTATAATATAAAAATTTGTAGAATTAGTGGACTTACTTGGATCGTCTATAAATGTATAAACATAATTACATAAACAGGTAGGTATATTATTAGTACGTTTTGGAATAATTGATGAAAATATTTTGTTTTGGAATAGACGTATAGTGTTAATGATTTTGGGGTCTAATATTGTTTGTTCATAGTGCATCCCGTGTAATCCCCACATATATATAGATAGGTTTTCTAATATCGGCTATTCATTAATATTAAATTCATTACCATTAAATATTAAATATGCATTAAATAATCAATTATTCTGGTTCCATTAATACATTAGTATGTAAAATAGGATTGTTCTATTTTTGTTGTGTGTGCGTCGTCGTTGCAAAACGTTCTTTTTTGTAACGACACCAGATTTTTGTATTCAATTATAATATTTATAATATTAAATTGAGTGGGCACCTTATATTATTTATGATGTATCAGCGTGAAAATTCACATATTAAATATTTAATATATTATCATATTATATTGTGAGCAGGGTGCATTTTTTAATTAGATGTGGTCCAACTAATTGTGATTTTTCATTAATCTTTACTTATTATAGCGTATAGGTATGACTGTAATAATCACAACTATTATTTTTATTATAATTAATTTCATTATTATTTTATATAACTATTGATACTTTTTCAGTCTTACGTTTTCATGTCAACAAATATTTACCGTGAGTTATTTACAGTTAAAAATGTATATCATTCGAATCTAACTTACATGGAAATACAGTATACACTATACAGTAAATTAACTTTTTTTAACTTAATAAAAAGTTAACAAAAAGTGTGTATTAACTTTTAACAACTGAGTTAACCTATAGTTAAATTAACTTTTAACTTTTTGTTATTGGTGCATATTAACTTAACTTAACTGAGTTAAAAAAAAATCATTAACTTGCCCAGTCTAGGCTATAACAATAAAATATGTTCTACCGCCAAATTCAGACTTTCCCATCATTTCAGTATGCTTAACTACATAGTTAAAACATAAAAAATTGAAAAATAAAGGGTGTTCAGTAGGACAAAAAAGTTCCAAAAGCACATTAAAATATTGTGTTGTACGAATAGGTACAAATCGAAAATTCGTAAGGCTTTAACTTAAAAACTAATGATTTCCGACAATACATTTTTGCTAATACATAGGTTTCCTAAAAAAAATTGAAAAATATGCGTGGGCGCTAAACTAGATTTGTTACAAATAAATTATTATAATTGAAGTACATATGATTAGTACTTATATTATAATATTTTTAAAGTGTCCATAGGGAGGGTTGAAATCCCTCCATTGAGCACGCCCATGTTACTGATTGTAATTTAAAATAAAGGTTTTAAAATATTACCGTAATTCATATTGTTCTGGTTCAACAGATTCCAAAAAGTCACTGGAAATTTATAAATACAAATATTTAATTTACCGATGTATGTTATAAATGTTGATACATTTTAAATAGGCAATCATAAAAATAATAGAAACAAATATTAATTTGTATTCTCTTTCTTTTTTTTTTTTTGATAAAATAGAGTAATATTTGTACAATCTGTAATATTTATATACAATAAGTAAAGTTGATAGCTAATATAAGGTACAATCATGAAATGGCGCGAGGAGGGAGGCCCAAAAGTGTGGATACCCTCTAACTTTGATCTTGGTTTAGAGTATTTATTTATTTTTATTTTAATTAACGCAGATTGGGATTCAGGAGATCTCGACACCAGTGTCTTTATAATAGACGTGGGGGGTGAAACCGTTGCTCTTATGCCTGTTTCGTATTTCGAAATAATAAAATAGATTTCTGCAAATAATTTCATCTGTTTACTTCTATGGAATTTTTTTTTTATTTACAATATGGTGGTGGTACATTAGCACGACAGCCAGACTTTAAAGCTGGTTTCCTCGTTCAGCGTACTTTCACGATGTTCCAACTTCCAAGGGACTATATTGACAATTTCAGGTAGGTATATAAATCGAGGGTTTATACAACTTAGGGAGCGGGGTCGACCATATAGGTAGTGTCTTGCTGTCAATACCGACTGCTAACGTGAATCGGACCCGGGAACGGCAGGCTCTCAAAAGAGTGACCGAGAGCGGATAAGGGGATTCTATTGGTCGAGAGTCCAAATCCGGCCTGATGGAAATTTTCTGCGCTTGTGTGCCCCCGGTAAGTGACCGATGTCCTCGGGCGTGGTGGACGACGTCTCTGTCGATCTTCGGGCACCTGGTAGAGTCCACGGGTGGTCTTCCGATTGTCTTCTCACCCGGCTTGGACGTCGTCGAATTCCGCCGGCTTAACTGGAAACTCAACTCGTATAAAGAAATGCGTGGCGATGCCCAGAATGGTTGCTCACAGGATTGTACGAGGAGTCTTGCTGTGCTGTTACTCGTCGTTTCTGTCGGCATTGATATCGCCGAATGTTGCTTGCAGATTGTTAGGTTTTTAATGCACTGCTCGTCCTTCTCTTCTTCGGTCTTTGAGCGTTGTTTAGTAGTAACTGGATCGAAGGAACTGTGTTGAGACGAAGGTTGAATTAAATGTGACCTTTTTTTAATATGAATTGTAAGTTGTAACATGGTGTGACCGTTACAGGGGTTATTTGGTATGAATTCCAAGATGCTATTTGACGAAACGAAATAGACTAGAAGGCTTTTATAGTAAGTATTTGGGAAGGCTTGGCTCATCCTCATATTTGGATACCATAGGCTCAGGTTAGGTTAGGTTAGGTTAACATTGATTTTTATATTAATAATTTGTTGTCAATAGAGAGTTTAGACTAGATTGTAGACCGACTTTCATCCTTAAAAATAAAATCTAGTTATTGAATTAAAAACTATATTATTAAAATGCATAGTGATGGTAAGGTACTATAACTCGCTGCTCTCAACACATAATAATACAATTATTTATCAAGCAAATTTTTTTTAGAACAACTAATGACAAAGATTGTTTCATATTTTGAGTTTTAATAAATCAATAAAATGTTCAAAAGTGTATTGTGTATAGATATTTTTGTAACCACTTATTAGTTAGTAGACATGGCATTATTTCAATACAAATATATTTGTCCGTAATTGCCTATTATCTGGTTTTCGTCACAGAATAAATAATTAAAATATAATATACAATTCGACAAAATTTATAGCTTATATTAACTACCTACTCATTGTAATTAAAAATAAATGTATTTTAATGTTACCATAATTCCAAATGTGATTCCCATTAACTGCAAATTTATAAATATAAATATTTTATTTTTGGATGTTATGACTAATTATATGAAATTTAATAAATAATTAATAGGTAGGTACTTCTCATAAAAATTAATAGAAACCAATATTAATTTACATTCTCAAAAAATAAAATCTAGTTATTGAATTAAAAACTATATTATTAAAATGCATATGGATAGGTAGGTACTTTAAACTCACTACTCACAGCATACAATAATATTACAATGCTTGGATTCCCAATGCTGTATATTTTAATTTTTAACTGGCAGTAATATATTTTATTTTTAATGAAATTTCAAGAATTGGACCCCCTCAGGTCTTCCTGTTATAGGTTGTATTATATTATTTTCCACTAGCTTGGAAAGTTGGAACAATAGGCATTTAGATAAATGTATACTGGAAAACTGGAAAACAGTAAACCGAATTACCCTGTTGAAGTATTACAAATAATAATAAAAAAAAAAAAAAAATCGTAAATGTTAGTATGCAAAACCGGGGTAAAAGATGTAAACGAGCTCTTTCTACTCATAATTCGCCCTTCAGTTTATATTTCTTGTGCTATTAAAATATATACAGGGTGATATTTTTATCATTGAACACTCATTATTTCAAAAAGTATTAATGTTTAAGAAAATATTTTTTTACATAGTTTCAAGTTGTTAAAAAACAATATTTTTAAATATTTTTTATCCTTTTAATTTTTCAAGTTTTTTAATTTTTTGAATGACAACATGTAATTTTAATTTGATATTCAAAAACCGAATATTTTTCTGAGTATTTTAATACATAAAAATTGAATTTAGGGCAAGTAGTTTATGAGTTATAAGTATTTAAAGTTTAGATGAGCGGAGTAGTGGACAAACATTTCGCGGGGTAACTCCGTACCACTCTACTCCGCTCATCTAAACTAGGTATTAACCTAATATATATTATATTTTAATATCGTGGTTTATACTGTTACTCACTGTCCCTATAACAAAACGTTTCCGGGTCATATAAATCATCTGTAAATCAAGTAAGAAATAAGAAGTAAGAACCTACATTTGTTATTCAAATTGTTGCCTTTTTCACTGTATTGTTAGGTACATTATATAAAAAGAAATATATAATTATACAAACATAACTATATTATGTTTATAGTCTATAATCAATGTTTAAAAAGAACTTCGTTAGCGTTCAAGTGTTTACGTTCATATACATTGAATGATACTTGAACGTCACTCGTTTTTTGCAAATAGAACGTGAACGTCAACGACGATTATATTTTAATGAATTTCATCGGTTTTTAAGACGTTCAATTTATTTACCATTTAATAAATATTATATGTATAAAATATAAGTATTAATAAAAGTATTAATTATATTATAATAATAATATTTTCATTTTTCCCATTATATTTCCTATAGTATTTGTTTGATTGCAAAATATATAAATTAAATACGTGAAATTCCAGTATCCCCGACTAGACATACAACAACAATAATATTATGATTTCCATGAATTTGTAATAAACCTTATAAACCTAATCGGTTTATCATAATAAGTACCCTAGTATTCGCTTAATTTTATCACTAGGAAATCCTTATCTAAGCGTAACTCAAATAAAGTGTCAGATATTAAAAACTAATTCAGATATTTTATAAATTGTATATGCTCTAATGTATAAATTTTATTTTTATTTTTTGGTTAAGTCGTATATGTTTATGGGTTTATAATTTTTATATTGACTGCAGGCTCACGATTCATAAAAAAAACTAAATGAACGACCCAATGAAAGCGTTATTTTTTTAAAAGAACGTGAAAGTGTTGGTTGGAAAAAAACATGGACGTGAACGTGAACGAGTTCCTTTTTTAAGGACTGAACGTGAGCGTGAACGAGTTCATTTTTTAGTGAACGTTCCGAACACTGTCTATAATATAATAGTATAACACAATTATTGCTCGGGAGTTATAATGGTATATAATATGTAAATTATTATAAAATAGTATAGAATTATGCTTACCGCCAGCATTCAAATAACTCCTACTATCCTCAAAGAATGCCGTCAGTATATCGACTAGAAAGTATAATATTTGATTGTTCATTATATTTATAACATTTATAATATCCATATAATATATTATACTAGTTGATCCTGAGCACTTCGTATCAATATGTACCAATATGTACCTACATGTATTATTAAGATGGTCCAAATTATGAAAACAGTCCAAAAATATTGTATGCAAACTCCCCCTCCCAGAAATTCCGGTCTGCAAAGGCCTATGTGTGTATTAAAAATTGAAACGATTTTGTTTAAATCGATTTTTAAACACATCAGAATTCTAAACATAACTCTATGTAATTTTGTTATATTAGGTAGGTAGCTGATTCTGCAAGGCGTTGCCTGTGTCATACTAAAGGCCTTTGGATTTATATCTCTTCTTAAAATCCATTAAATGTGAACTGGTAAGATTTTTAATTCAGTTAATTAGACCCGATTTAGGTCTAAAATTATATCCAATAATAACCGATGCCGATAATATGTGAACAAAAAAAATATGGTTTATTGTGTGTCAACTGTCAAGTAAATTTAGCTTTTTGTGTCGAAAAGCTAAAAGTAGACTATGACACTTCACGTATCTAACTGAATTTATTAACATTTTATAAAAATAACTGAGGATTAGCTGTATTATAGTGTATTACGCCTGGCTTCGCTCGGATTCAAATTAATTTGTCTTTCTATCGTGTTCCGTTTTTTTTCAATTGAAATGTATAGGTAATACACACAATATTAGAATGACTAACTTTATGATTTTTCAATTTTTCTTAATTCTGGACATACTAGATATTTTTGATGTTAGCAAAAACTACAGGGATAGTTTTAATTAACAAATTCAGGTCTGAGAGATAAAATACATATTGCATTGACATCCTCTTAAGAGTGGTTTTTGTCTTTCTGTGTTTATATAAAAATATGTCCAGAATTAAAAAAGAAAATCACTATAGTAATTACTGTAATTGAGTTAATAAATATAATTATTTGATTTTAAGATTTGTTTTAGATTCTGAGCTGAGCTATAGATTGTAAGCATTGGTGGCTATATATGTGGCTCAATATAATAATTGTAAAAACTCACTGATTACTGTGGAAGTAGTGCAGTACACATTATCTAAATGGTTTTTAAATTGTTCAAAACCAGCTATGATAATCATTTTTTGACGACAATCATCAGCACATGTGAATTATCACGAAAACACATGAAATAAAAAATAGTTGTTTTATATATTAGTTGTTCAATATAATATATAATTATACATTAGACTCTAATTTAATTCATATTTTCTTAGCGAAATGGAGAACTATCAACAAATGAAATGGATTTCAAATCCTTTTCAAGAACATGACATGACAAGTGGGTTATCAATAAGAGCTAAAGAAGAATTAATCGAACTATTTGAAGATAGTGTGTTTAAAATGAATATCAATCGAAAAAAATTAATAAGTTTCTGGTTATCAGTTCAAGAAAATTATCCAACTGTTTCCAATGAAGCTGTAAAGATGCTACTCCCATTCATTTCATCATATAATTGTGAGGTTGGTTTTTCGGCAATGGTTGCTATTAAAACCAAATTACGGAGCAAATTGAAACTTTCAAACTCACTGCGCCTCAAGCTTACCAATGTTGAAGTGGATATATCGATGATGTGATGAAAAAAATAGGAAACAATTCCATCCTTCACATTAAAATTATATACTTATTAAATTACTAATATATTATACTTATTATACTTTTTTTTAGTAACTACATACATTATATACTTATTAAATTACTAATATATTATACTTATTATACTTTTTTTTCGTAACTACATACAATTTAATAAAATCGTTTAATTTTCTGTTGTATGGTAAAAAAAAAAAAAAGGTCATTCATTGATATTGTGGGTCGCCATATTTTAAAAAATTTTCAAAATGGGTCGTACAATAAAAAGTTTGGGAACCTCTGCATTAAAGACGTTATACGGCCACTGCGTATGAGATAATACGTGCTACGAGTTCTAAGATTTTATACATAATAAATAGGCAGGGCTGGATCTAGGGGGGGAAATCGGGGATTTATTCCTGGACGTATAATTTTCGTGATCGTATTTTTAAGGTCTTAAATTTTAAAATTTTAAATGGAGTTTAAAACAAAGTCAGAACTACAAATTAATATTTTACAGGAAATGTGTAATATTGGGTATGCGAATAAAATAAAATAGTTTTATTTTTACTCGAGATAATTAATAACTAAGAACATTGATTTAAAAATTAAAAAGGACAAATATGAAATAGGTACGCAGTGACTTGGAAATACT